AGTCGTAATGAATTTTTTAGGGTCTCACAATGCAAGACGGCAAAAGAAATATGGGATACTCTTGAAGTAACACATGAAGGAACAAATGAAGTAAAACGAGCACGTAAGAACACACTCATCCAGGAGTATGAATTATTTCAAATGCAGAAAAATGAAAGCATCACGGATTTCCAAACACACTTCACACATATAGTAAATCACTTGAAAGCATTAGGAAAGAGTTTTGACAATGAGGAGTTGAACACAAAGATCTTGAAATCCTTAGACAGGAATTGGCAATCAAAGGTCACTGCTATTACAGAATCAAAGGATCTCTCAAAAATGAATATTGTTACTCTATTTGGAAAGCTACAAGAACATGAGATGGAGCTACAAAGGTTAAAGAATGGTGAACAGAATCAAACAAAGACGATAGCTCTAAAAGCAGAAAAATCTTCACAAGACGAAAGTGAAAATGAAGGTAAGTTTTTGGACTCTGATATGTCTCTTTTTGTTAAACAATTTTCTCGCTTTATGAATAACAGGAAAAAGAGATAGCAAAGAAAGGAGAAAACAAATAAATTCCATTGCTATGAATGTGGAAAACTTGGTCATATCAAACCAGACTGTCCGAAACTTAAGAAAGAGAAGAAATATGTGAAAGAGAAGAAGAAAGAGAAGAACGATACCTATAAGAGAAAACGCAAAGCTTATATTTCTTGGGAGGATAATGATTCTTCTACAACACAAGAGAGTTCTTCCAAAAGCAATGATGGAGAAAAAGAAGCAAATCTTTGCTCGATGACAAAAAGTAATGATAAAGCCTCATCATAGGATAAGAAATCGATCTAGTTTCTTGATAGCGGATGCTCCAGGCACATGACCGGTGACAAGAACAAGTTTGAAAGCCTCACAAAGAAGAGTTAAGGACATGTGACATATGGTGATAACAATAAGGGAAAAATTCTTGGATCAGGAAAAATACAGGTAAGCAACAACTTCATGATTCAAGACGTGTTACTTGTAGAAGGATTAAAACACAACCTTCTGAGTATCAGCCAACTATGTGACAAAGGATTGAAAGTTATCTTTGAATCAACTACATGCAACATAGTGAAGGACAATACACAAGAAACTGTTTTAAAAGGTATGCGTCTTAACAATATCTATGTAATTGATCTTGACATCACAATTCCTAGGTCTATCTCCTGTCTTGTTTCTAAGAATGAAGATTTGTGGTTATGGCACAGGAGAGCTGCACACATTCACATGCATCATTTAAATAAATTGATTTCAAAAAATTTAGTGATTGGCCTGCCTAAGTTAAGTTTTAACAAAGATAAAATTTGTGCGGCATGCCAAAAAAGGAAAGCAAACTAAAACTTCTTTTAAGAATAAAAATATTATCTCTACATCACAGCCTTTAGAATTATTGCACATGGACTTATTTGGACCCTCTAGAACAAGAAGCCTAGGTGGTAATTATTATGCACTAGTTATTGTAGATGATTATTCTAGGTTCACTTGGACTTTCTTTTTGGCAACTAAAAATGATGCTTTTAAGAATTTTAATAAATTTGCTAAAGTTATTCAAAATGAGAAAGATTTGAACATAAAATCAATTAGAAGTGATCATGGTGGTGAATTTCAAAATGAGATTTTTGAAAATTTTTGTGAAGAATTAGGCATAACACATAATTTTTCTTCCCCAAGAACACCACAACAAAATGGAGTTGTTGAGAGGAAAAATAGGTCCTTGGAAGAATTAGCTAGAACAATGTTAAATGAAAATAATCTTCCAAAATATTTTTGGGCCGATGCTATGTCAACTGCATGTTATGTGTTAAATAGGATTTTAATAAGACCTATTTTGAAACTCACTCCCTATGAAATTTTCAAAGGTAGAAAACCAAATATTTCTCATTTTAAAGTTTTTGGTTGCAAATGTTATGTTTTAAACAATGGTAAAAATAACCTTGGCAAATTTGATTCTAAGGCTGATGAAGCAATATTTTTAGGCTATTCTTTAAATAGCAAATCATATAGGGTATTTAATAGGAGAACATTGCATGTAGAAGAATCTATTCATGTAATGTTTGATGAGTTTTTGGACCTTGAGGAGAACCCTCTTGAGTCAAGAAAAGATTCTATAGATATTGAAGAAGAACAAATTGCAGTAGAAAAGAAACAGGTTCAGTCACAGGAAGACCAAATGGAGGATCTTGTAAGGAGTTTAGAAGAACACACTATTTCTGAATCTCAACCAGTTCAAGATCTACCCAAAGAATGGTGTACACCAAGAGGACTCTCACTGGACAATGTTATTGGAAATGTAGATCAAAGAGTTACAACAAGAAGTAGAATGAATAACTTCTGTATGAATGTAGCTTTTGTTTCACAAGTGGAGCTTAAAAGTATTGATGAAGCCTTACAAGATGAATATTGGATTCAAGCTATGCAAGAGGAATTAAATCAGTTCAAGAGAAATGAAGTTTGGGATCTGGTACCAAGAAAGAAGTCAATGCAAGTTATTGGATCTAAATGGGTGTACAGGAACAAGTTGGATGAGCAGGGAAATATCACAAAGAATAAGGCAAGATTGGTTGCAAAAGGATATAGTCAAGAAGAAGGAATTGATTATGATGAGACATATGCACCAGTAGCAAGATTGGAAGCTATCCGAATTCTACTAGCCTATGCATCTATCATGAAATTCAAATTATATCAAATGGATGTAAAGAGTGCATTCTTAAATGGATACATCAAAGAGGAGGTGTATGTGTGTCAACCTCCTGGCTTTGAAGATTATCAACATCCAGATCATGTTTATAAATTGAAGAAAGCTCTGTACAAGTACCTAGGTCATGGTATGAACGTCTAAGCAATTTTTTGGTGAGTCACAACTACAGGAGAGGTAAAATAGATCAAACTTTATTCATAAAAGAGCATAAGAAAAATATTATTATAGTTCAAATTTATGTTGATGATATAATCTTTGGCTCAACTAACAATGATCTTTGTCAAGAGTTTGCCAAGATAATGCAGGGTGAATTTGAGATGTCGATGATGGGTGAACTAACATTCTTTCTAGGACTGCAAATCAAACAGAAAACTGACGGCATCTTCATTTCACAATCAAAGTACTGCACTGAATTAATCAATAAATTTGAATTATAAGTACTGCACTGAATATATCTTGATTTTTATTCACAAAAATATTAATGTCCAACAACCATTTTCTGATGCTATTTTTCTATTTAATTAAGTTTTGATGAAAAATAAAAAACACACAATTACAAAATTCGAAAATACAATTTACATTCAATCAATTTTGAGAAAAGAATTCTGAGTAAGGCAACAGAGATATTTTACACCTTTTGAGAAAACCCTCTTCTCTACTGTCTTTTGTGCTTTCATTGTTAATCACACTTGTTCTTGAAAATTGGCATTCTATATAGGCTTCTACAATTTGTTGTCTCCATTACCCAGGTGTGTCTGTTCTTATTTTTATTACCTTCATCCTTTGTGTATTGGTGGCAAAGGAGGTGTTTTCATCCTTTGATTTGTTCAAAGGAGTTTTTTATCCCTAGTGTGATTCTAGGGAGGTGTTCATCCTTATTCTAAGGAGGTGTTTTTTCATCCTTTGATTTGTTCAGAGGAGGTGTTCATCCCTAGTGGGATTCTAGGGAGGTGTTTATCCTTAGTGGATTTCCAAGGAAGTGATTGTCTTTTTAATTAGTTTACTTTTTACTGGTTCTTATGCTGAGTTGATTGTAATTTGTAAACTGAATTTGAAAGATAGTGAATTGGGAGTCACTCTTGTGTTAAGAGTTGACTGGGAACTGGATGTAGGGTTGGTTATACCTGAACCGGTATAAATCTCTGTGTGTTCTTCTCTTTCCCTTATCTCTTTCTCTTTTCCTGATTATATTATCGTTTCCACTTTATCTGTGTTCAAACAAATTATTGACTCACAAATAAATTTTTAATTTGACATCTATTTTAATTTGTGCATTTATTCACCCCCCCCCCCTCTAGATGTCATTTGTCTAACATAAGCTTGTAAGAGTTTCTCGACCTCTTACTAAACGATCACACATTTTTCGCCTCCTAATCTTCTCTTTCTCTAAGCTACATGTTTTGCCTCAGTGAATATTGTCAACTTATGGCAAATTAAATCTAGATTGGTTCTTGACATGTCAGTGGGACTCCATGTGAAAAGATCTACATTTTGTTTCAATAATTCAACTATCTTCTACCGATCATGGATCTGTAGGTCATGTTCGAGCTTGGTTGTTTGATCCATTGTTGTTTCTATTAGTACTTCTACCAACTGTTAGTCGAATGTCGACCTATCATCTTTACACTCACATCGAGGGTCAAGGTTTATCACGACATCAACGCTACAACATTCATCATGTTGTTGGATGAACTCTGTGGTATCCATTGTTGACTCCTTGTTATCCTTTAGTGAATAGGGAGTGATATTTAAACTCTTTATGTAACACATCCAAGCTTCTTTTAGGTTAGACCTAACTATCCAAATTGGTTCATTGTTATGGATGACAAAATGGGATAGTCCACTCCATTTTGACCCACTCTATGTATAACCTGTCAAAAACAAGATAGAGTTGGCTGACCCAATATAATCAGGACCCAATATAATCAGGATGGAAACCTAACCCGCCATATCAAAGGGCAAACTTAGCCTACCAATATTTTTTTTTTTCTCTCAATCCAAAAATCTTAGTTTACATGCTCTTCTTTTTAACCTTAGTTTACATTCTCTCTTTTTGTTTTTCTACTACTGTAAACCTACTCCTCAGATAAAATTAAAAAGGTGACAACTAATTTATGTTAATACTAACAATTTGTTTTAATTAAATATAAATTTAAATTACTACTTTTTTTCTATATAAGATCGAAGGAGGGAACATCTATCTCACCCTCCTACGTTTTATTTTTGTGTTGAGATTTGTTGTTAATTTGAACACAAAATTCTCATATTCTACTCACAAAATATGGACTCACTTCGTACCTCAAAGCGTCATGTTGTGTGTGTACCATTCCGAGCTCAGGGCCATGTAAATCCCTTTATGCAATTTGCCAAACTCCTCCATTGCTTGGGTTTCCACACAACCTTTGTGAACACTGAGTTCAACCGTTTTGTTAGGTTCCATGGAGCAGACTTTGTTAAGGGTCTCCCAGATTTCGTATTTGAGACGATACCCGATGGATTGCCACCTTCGGATAAGGACGCAACTCAGGATGTTCCATCACTGTGTGATTCAACCAGAAAAAAATGTTATGGCCCTTTCAAAGAGTTGTGATAAAGCTGAATTCTTCAGATGACGTGCCTCCAATTAGTTGCGTAGTTGCTGATGGGATTTTTGGCTTTGCAGAGTTGCAAAGGATTTTGGCGTACCAGATGTTCAACTTTGGACAGCCTCAGCATGTGGTTTTCTTGGCTATTTGCAATTTGATGATCTGGTCAAAAGAGACATCCTTCCATTCAAAGGCACGATTTTTTTTCTTTTTTTGTCTTTGCCAGTTTTTGTTAGTGCCTATGTTTAAAGTTAGATTTCAATCTATCATTTAATTAAATAACAGAAATATGGGGAACATTCAATAACAATAGGGGAGGGAAGAATATTAGATATAGATGATGATAGCTACATTCTAGTTCCGTTTATTCAGAGAGAATAAGAGGAAAAAAATAACTTTTTAAAATTTATTAAGATAATTTTCATTAAAATAAAACTAATAATAACTTATTTTAACATAATATGATTTGATAAATTTATATTTTACATATTTTTAAGATAAAATACCGTCCATGTGAATTGCTTTGTTCAAGATGTACTTGCTACTACAAACTAATATTTTAATTATAGAGATTAATTTTATATGTTTATACTATTAAACTATAAAAAAGCATGATTGAGTATGTCTAATTAACTGATATAAAGTTCTTCCTGTTTAGTTATAGAGAGAAATCATCCACAGAACATAATATTATACCACTTCAACAAGATTGATTTAGATAAAATTACACTACTACAAATAAAGCTTTCAACGTCGGTTATAAAAGACTTTCAACGTTGATTTTTTAAATTAATAATTTTTATTTATTTTAAGAGAATTGTCATTGGCAGGATTTGAACCCAAGTACTTTTAGAGTTGGAGGCCGATACTCCAACCACTAAACTACTAGAATTTTCTGATAATAACTTACAAATAAATTATATTTATATACAAATAAATATATATCCGTGTAAATATATAAATATATAAATATATAAATACAAATATATTTATATATTTTGATATATTTATATAGTTATATATTTATATGTTGGATGTGAGGGCACACTCGAAAGTGAAAGTGTGTCTCGAGTGGGTTTTCAAAATTTGATGCTAAATTTGTGAGCAAGGTATCTTTATATGAGTTTGTAATTTAATGACATGAATGTAATTTTTATAATTTTATTTATATAATGATATAAAATAAATTTGGGAAACGCGTTATTCGCTTTCAAGTGAAAAATACCAATTTTCGCTCAAGTAAGACTTGAGTGAGTGAATTTCCGTGAACTTTAACATATTTTCACTCAAGCAAGAGTCAATCACACTTTCACCCTCGATCGAAAAATACCAATATAATTTATTTGTAAGTTATTATCAAAAAATTATAGTAGTTTAGTGGTTGGGATATTAACTTTCAACCCTAAAATACTGGGTTCAAATGTTATCAGTGACAATTCATTAACTTAAGAGAATTTTTGGTTGAAAAAAAAATAAAAATATTTTCCAGAAAATATATACAAATAAATATATATCCATGTAAATATATATTTATTTGTATATAAATATAATTTATTTGTAAGTTATTATCAGAAAATTCTAGTAGTTTAGTGGTTGGAGTATCAGTCTCCAACTCTAAAGTACTGGGTTTGAATCTTGTCAATGACAAATTTCAAATTTAACTGAGTTTTTGGGTGAAAAAAAAAGACTTTCAACGTCGGTTCATATGGGAACCGACGTAGAATGTGTTTAATATTCAACTTTCAACGTCGGTTCATCTGAGAACCGACGTGGAAAGTACTTTCTACGTCGTCTCAGCTATAAACGACGTTAAATGACGACGTAGAAAGTATATTTTGTAGTAGTGTTAGTTGTTTTTATTGGTTTGAATCCTGTCAATGACAATTTTCAAATTTAACTGAGTTTTTGGGTGAAAAAAAAAAGACTTTCAACGTCGGTTTATATGGGAACCGACGTAGAATGTGTTTAATATTCAACTTTCAACGTCAGTTCATCCGAGAACCGACGTGGAAAGTACTTTCTACGTCGTCTCAGCTTATAACCGACGTTAAATGACGACGTAGAAAGTATATTTTGTAGTAGTGTTAGTTGTTTTTATTTTGAATGGGAAAATATAAACTAGCATGTAATAAATCTTAAAGTTTGAGAAATTTCTTTCAGTGTGAAAAAGTTCGTATGGTTTATTATTAATTTTACATTGTTAATTTTTTAATAACATACAACCGTTTCAATTGTAATCGGTTAAATTGAACAACAGATTGTATTTATTAATATATAAGCACAATAATATTTTTATGGATTTTAAATATAAATATGAAAATAAAAAATATTAACTAAATTGAAAATATTTTTAAAACAAGCATAAAATATAAATTCAATATTTTCCTGCCAAAATCACCTATCTAATCCCTTATTTTTATTTTCTTAGCATGGCATGTAAATCCATTTAACTATATTATATATATATATATATATATATATATATATATATATATATATATATATATATATATATATATATATATATTCTGCGGGTCGAGTAAGTTTCATATATTAAAAAATATATAAAAATTATAATATATTATTTACTCTCTATTTTTTTAATATTTTTATTATAATATCATAAATATAATATATGTTAGTGTATTTATTTTTTATGTCCTAACATCATTATAGTTGATTGAAATATCATGATATCAAATTTAGTCCTTTAAAATTAATTGAGTAAGATTATGATAATATTATCTTAATTGATAAAAAAAATATTAATTTTTCTATGCTTATTTTATATTATTATACTTGAATTAAAGTATTTTTATATTATTTAAAAAGAATACCATGAATTTAAGATAAAAATTATTAAACTTGAAATCTTATATCTTTTAGAATTGATATATATGTATAATTTATGAAAACCATTTATTTAGCATTCCATTTTTTTTGATATAAAATATTTTATAAAAATAAAAAATATTAATTATACAATCAAAGAAGTTAGATTTCAATGTATTAGTTGATTAATAGTTTTTAGAAAAAAATTGTATTTATTAATATATAAGCTCAATAATATTTTTATTGATTTAAAATATAAATATAAAAAATATTAAATATTAAATAAATTGAAAATATTTTTAATACAAACATAAAATATAAATTCAAAATTTTCCATCCAAAATTACCCAAGCCCTTATTTTGATTTTCTTATCATATCATCAATGGCGGATCTTCTTGAGAGCTGTGGGTCCCTCCAAATTTTGTAATTCTCATGTAATTTATGATTTTAGCTCTCAAACATAATGAACATTTAATATATTTACTTGTATATTTACAATTTTATCCTCTCAACTCCTCCTTAATTTTGTAACTCATATAATTTATGATTTTGTTCTCCTCAAATTTCATTATCATTTAATATATTTAAGTATATATCTACAATTTTATCTTTTTACCATTTCATCTTCTTATTCCTTTTATATTTATTAATAATATATTATTTGACCCCTCAAGATCAATGATCTAAATTCATCACTGCATGTCATGTAAATCCATGTCACTGTATCATATATTTATCATAATACGTCACTCTAGTAACTTTCACATATTAAAAAAACCCATAAATTCTAATATATTGATTACTCTCTAATTTTTAATATTTTTATTATAAATTTATAAATATTAAAATATAATATATTTTATTATAAGATTTTACCGCACCAATTCATCTTAAGAGGATTTTTTTTCATATTACTTCATCATTTAAAAGGATTTTTTATCATATTATTTTATTTATGAGAGATTTTTACGTCAAACATCAGGTAATATTATATTAAAAATGGTGAAATAATTAATTTAATATTATAAAATTATTCAAATAATAATTATATTTATTTATATATTATAATATATTCATTTTATGAATAAAAAATATAAATTTTTCTATGCTTATTTTATATTTATATAATGGATTTAAGATAAAAATAATTAAACTTGAATTCTAATAATTTTTTAGAGTTGATATATGTATAACTTTTGAAAAAAAAATCAATAATTCAATTTATTGATATAAAATATTTTATGAAAAAAAACTTAAAAATTAATATTATATTATCAAAGAAGCTGATGAATAAATACATAGAGCGTAAAAACGAATCTTTATTTTATTTTTAATAAATAGATATCAATTTGTTGTCGTGGGAAGTACAAACTCCAATTATTAAGACTCCAAAGCGTAAAAATAAATTCAAACTCTTCCTACTATACAATCATTACTGCCAATCATTTTCTTCAAATATCTATTTAGCGTTATTATCAAATCATATAAATTAAAATGATAAAAAACCTAAATAAATAATATTTTTCTTGATGAAATAAAAATATATATATATTATTAAAAAATTCCTTTTAATTGACGAGTGAATTTGAGAAAAAAAGAGAAAGATAATAAAAAATAAAGTTATTTAAATTAAGAGAAAAAATAAAAAATAAAAATGTTTTAATTAATTAATTGTTTTAAATTATAAATTATATGTTTCGATATAATTCATGTATAAGAATAAGAAATAATTAATTATATTATAAAGTTTTTTTTCTTTTTTTTGCAATTCTTCGTATATGAGAAATATTGAGAATAAGTTTTGAGAAACGTAGAAATAAAATATATATTATGTATTAGAAATATAACTTTCTTTGCATTTTTTGGACTCTTCTAGATCACTCTGCATAAGCAATTAATAGAAAAAAAAACAATTAAAAATATATTAAGACTAAAATTAGTCATTAAAATGACATAGAATTAAATATAAATTTTCTGAAAAAAATATATATATATATATATATATATATATATATATATATATATATATATATATATATATATATATATATATATATATATATATATATATATATATATAGAACGCATTCACTTAACCTTGATTTAACTACAAATTTGAAAAACATTTAATACATAAGTTTAAAGATTAAAATAAGTCAAATATTTGGCTAAAGACTAAAAATAAATTTCTAAAATTTATAGAATTATAAAATATTTTATATTTTAATATATGAAGAGGAAATAATAATGATTTTTTTATATTTTCAAATTATATTTAAAACGGAAGAACCGTATAATATTTTTGAAACAAATAAAAATTTATATATAATTTTTAAATAAGTGAGAGAAGAAAATATTTATTTTAAAAGTTAACTTCCAAGACAAAGTCAGAAGAAGTGGTCATATAGACAACTGC